TTCCAGGAACAAGACAAGGAGTTCCACTATTACCATGGCAGTTAAATCCTGGGCTGGAGAGCTCAGCAGGTGCAACTCCACAAGAAAAACATAGCAGAAAGGAAATAAATAAAATGGAGAGCATGATCATGACCTCCAAATCCCAAAACTCCTCTTGGGAGGTTAGGCAATGAATGAATGAATGAATGAATGAATGAATGAATCGCAAGTTTTAAAAAAAAGAGGAAAAGGAAGAAGTAGTAGCAAAAGCCAGTTCTATTTAGGAGCTAGAGAGCTGGCTCAGCAGTTAAAGAGCACTTGTCTACTCTGACTGAGGACCTAGGTTCAATTCCCAGCACCCACATAGTGGCTCACATCTCAGTATCTGTACACTTGGCTCCAATCCCAAGTACTCTAACATCTTTTCTGGACTCCAGGGGCACTGCATACAAGTAGTGCACAGACAGACATCCATGCAAGCAAAACCATACACATAAAAATAAAAAAAAATGTTCAAAACAGTATTTTTAAGCCAGTTTTATCTCAATACACTAATATTAATAAGTAATTATGGAGTTGTTTTGTCTGTAGATTAGAAGAACAATGCTGAAAAGACACCAGCCACTATATCAGACATGTTCGAAGTTAAACCCCGGTTCATCTTGTGTAGTCTGACAAGCAGACTGAATGAGTTGGGAAGGGGCATACACTCAGATGACAGTTTTTCTCTCCTTTCACCATGGGTTCCAAAACCAGGCTAATGGGGGCAAACGTTTGAACCCACCACATTTCATGAGCCGGATTAAGAAATTCTTAAAAGAACAAAGGTAAATAACTTAAAACATCAGATCTCAGGATGATATCTGTAGTCATCCAGACACTGTGATAGAGCAGAAGAGCCACCCATTCACTCCATCACTCAGACACACTTCAGTCCAAGACAGCAGATTTCCTCATCAGGGCACAGTATGTATGTATTACTTTAGTGTTTTTGTTTTTGTTTTTTGAAAGACAGTTCACTATGTAGTCCAGGCTAGCCTGGAACTCAATGCATAGACTAGACTGTCCTCAAACTCACAGAGAACCACCTGCCTCTGTTTCCTGGGTGCTGGGATTAAAGGTATGCACCACCAGCTTGGCTTACATGAAATATTCTTTTGTTTTTAATTACTTACTTTTATGTGTATGGTTATTTTGCCTGCAAGTATGTCTATGTACCACCTGTGTGCCTGGTGTCCTTGGAGACCAGAGAAGGGCATCAGATCTCATAAAACTGGAGTTACAGAAAGCCATTGTAAAGCCAGGTGCTGGGAATTGAACCCAGGTCCTCTATAATAGAAGATAGTGCTCTTAACTATTGAATCATCTCTCAGGCCCCTACATTAAATACTCTTAGGCCGGAGAAGTGGCTCAGCTATTAAAGGATAGACTCACAACCAAAAATAAATATTCTTGGAGGGAAAAAAGATCAACCAATTGAACTACATTAAAATTTAAAACTTTAAAAGATATTACTGAGCTGGATATAATAGGCACCTGAAATTCTAGCACTTGAGAAGCTGAGGCAGGATTATCAAAGGTTGTAGGCTAGCCTGGGCCACACGGCAAGACCTCTATATATGAATGTATGAGAACATCTGTGTCTTCACATATATGCAATACTACAAAGTGAAAAGGCAAATACAAGAGTATTAAAAACAACCTTCCAGGCTGGGAAGATGGCTCAATGGGTAAAGTACACAGCACCCAAGTAAAAGCCAGGTGTGGCAGCCATGCCTGTAAGGTACAGAAGGACTGGAAAGATAGCTAAGCATATGGGTAAGAGCACTTGCTACTCTTGCAGAGTTCAGTTTCCAACACCCACACGGCAGTTCATAACTATCTGGAACTCCAGCTCCAGAAAATCCAATGCTTCTTATCTCTGTAGGCTCCTGAACCCACATGATACACATACATACACTCAGGCACACACACATACAAGATAAATACTAAAAAAAACTAGTAAGGTTGAAGGTTGAGAGCAGTCAAGGAAGGCATCCAACATGAAACACTGGCTTCCACACAGATGTGCAGAAGCATATGGACGCCTGCATACAAACATACGAATATACAGGAACACATGCAAACCTATTATACACATACACAAAAAAAATTAATTAAGAAATGTTTTTCTAAGCTGGGCGATGGTGGCGCACGCCTTTAATCCCAGCACTCGGGAGGCAGAGGCAGGCGGATCTCTGTGAGTTCGAGACCATCCTGGTCTACAAGAGCTAGTTCCAGGACAGGCTCCAAAGCCACAGAGAAACCCTGTCTCGAAAAACCAAAAAAAAAAAAAAAAAAAAAAAAAAAAGAAATGTTTTTCTAGCTAGGTGGTTGTACACGCCCTTAATCCAAGGACTTAGGAGGCAGAGACAGGTCGATTTCTGTGAGTTTAGGGCCAGCCTGACTTACACAGTGAGTTCCAGGACAGCCAAGGCTATGTAGAAAGACCCTGTCCCAAAACAAACAAAAAATTCTTCTATACATCTATGCACTCAGAATGTATAAAAAATTCAAATTAGAAACAATCCAATCAACAAATAGAAAAAAAAAAAAGAGTTGCTGCACTGCAGGCGGCTGCAGTCAGGAAGTCACCTCTCCATGTGGAGCTTTGCAGCACATAACAACGGCCTCTCATTCTGCTGGTAGCTGTGTGGTTGTACCAACTGTCACCACATTCACTTTTGGCAGCAACTCCTAAGGCTGCTGTCACTACAATTCCACTCCTTAGAATACTCCAGCAGAAACACACACATCCAGTTCTGTACCTCCCCAAATGCATAGGCAGCCTGGGAAGTTTAGGACCAGTGGCAGCCTCAGGGGTCCTGACAGCATCAAGAGCAAGTAAGACCCATCTACACAGCACACTTTGCTGAAAGCAAAGGTGGGTTTCACTGAATCCAGAGAAGAGTCAAAAGAAAACATAAAAGATTTCCTATAGAAAGTTAAGCATATACAAAGAAACCAATAGTGAAGAGCTGGGTCATATTAGAATGAGGGACAGTCACTGTCAGCAGGCAGCGGAAAGGGGTTTTTATAAAAGGTATGGTCCTGTCCACCTCTTGATACAAGCGGAGCTCCATGAGCATAACTGAAGAGCTGGCTGAAGCACACACCTGTGACCTGTAGGTCGTCCTCTTGCATGCTCCAGTGTAAGTACTCTGTCTGGACACATACACCCATCTGGTCACAGTTTTTAGCCACCAGAGGACCCTGATTCCAGAAAGGGAATGGCTTGGAGTAAGTTTACTCAGGTCAGCTCTGACATAACTGTGGGCACCAGCAAGTCCTAATTCAAGGAGGCAGTGCAGAGCAGCAGCCAGCACCACCTAGCAACAGGCTTCCTAGCAGGTACAACACCTGCTGCCTGAAACCCGCTGCCCACAACACCAATCACTTCTGTGTCCCCAGCACCTGTTCTTTCCAAAATCCTAAGTGTTGGCCAAACACTGCTACACACAGACTTACAAACACGACTGCAAAGCAGAGCAAGTAGAACACACAGCATCTTGAAGGCCTCTTCAGCCCGTGGCAACAAAATCTGACCTATTAACCTGCTAATTCCAAAGACTCCAGAAAGAAATTATTCTCTAGCCCCTAAACAAAAACTCTCAGCACACAACACTAACACCAAATTATTATTTCTGAAAAGGACATTGAAACGTTTAGTCCATCTTACAGAACTGACTACAGCCAAGAGATGCATCAAGGCAGTGATTATTCACTTGCTAACTGATCTCTGCAGACCCACCGTGAGAGCATAAGTGCAGCTTCCTTGAGCACCATGAAGATACCCATCAGGATTGAGCAAAATGGGCTCGTCAGCACAAACCTAAGCAGCCCCTGCTCCATGTGCCTTTCACCTTGGCCTTTGCTGGCTATACCGCTTTCTCCTTGCCCAACCACGGACACCAGAAGAGAAGGCTCCAACACACCAGTCCACACGTGATACTAACAACACACAGGGTGTCTCACCTGCCCAGGAAGAGGAGCCGTGGGAGTCAATGTTCAATCTTTTCAAAACAAAGCTTTGCAGCTCCGGATGTGCTTAAGAAAGCCTGTGAAGACTTTACTAATGTGATCAGTCCTATTTATCCACAAGATTTCCCCCAGGAAATTAGAAATCCATAAGACACAAAAGCCCTGAGATTCATTTCACACAAGTCCACAACAGGTAAGGGCAAGTCTAAGACACAGTACGGGAGCTGAATTGCTTCACAGGCCCTTGTCAAAAACTTTGAAGCATAGCCAGGTACTGGTGGCGCAGGCCTTTAATCCCAGCACTTAGGAGGCAGAGTCAGATGAATCTCTCAGTTCAAGGCCAGCCTTGTCTACAGAATGAGTTCCAAGAGCCTAGGCTACATAGAGAAATCCTGTATCAAAAAAACAAAACCAACCAACAAACAAAACAGCAACAACAAAAACTCAACTTTGAAGCACTTTTACTGCGGCAGTGTATTCAAATGGCTTTGGAGAACACCCATTTGTTCCCAAACTGAACTCCTGGGAATTTTGCCAGTGTTTAAAAAACACCAGAGGGGGCTGGAGAGATGGCTCAGTGGTTAAGAGCATTGCCTGCTCTTCCAAAGGTCCTGAGTTCAATTCCCAGCAACCGCATGGTGGCTCACAACCATCTGTAATGAGGTCTGGTGCCCTCTTCTGGCCTGCAGGCATACACACAGACATAACATTGTATTCATAATAAATAAATAACTAAATAAATATAAAAAAAAAAAACCACCAGAAATGCGGATCTCTGTGAGTTCGAGGCCAGCCTGGTCTATAAAGGGAGTTCCAGGACAGGCTCCAAAGCTACAGAGAAACCCTGTCTCGAAAAAACAAAAAAAAAAAAAAAAACAACAACACCAGAAACATTACTTCCCAAGTGGTTACACAAAATAGCCAGTAAAGCTAACACACTGACTAGACTATCCTACAGACATTTAGTGATAGACCCCTTAGTTTCAGTATGGTTGGCATACCTGTGGAAGCGCAGTGTTGAGCTGCCTCTGCAAGGAATCTCTTTCATGACCAACCTCGTGCAATTTCCCCTGTGTTAACGCCAGTGTTTCTTGCGTCTCTCTCAGTGTGTCCAGAAGGCGGTCTCGTTCTTCCAGCATGGATACCATGAGCTGCTCAAAATGTGAATCAGCGTCTGGCTGTGAAGGGGAGCCTGACCCATGGCTCCCACCTCCTCCTGGGGGGCCTTCCGCTTCACTAATGGTCGGCATCACCTCGCACATCATCTTGAAACAGGAAAGATGCAGAGGACAGTCAGTAGGTGCAGAACACAAACCTGCAGCTTTCTGAGCACCGCCTGGGGCTGATGAGCCAACAGGCTGACAGCCCCACACTGTCAGAGCTGCTCCACTTTGGATGCACACACTCTGGAAAGTAGCATGCACAGACCAATGGGAAGAGCACACTGGGGGATACCACAGTCCTGGGAGCAAAGGGAGCTGGAATGATCACCTCTTCCACCCAGGCCGAACCAGTGGGGTTTGCTGAAAATCCGCACTCAGCAGCTTTAGACAGTGGACTTCTTTAACTTATTTTGCTCTTCCCCAGGAAGAGAGATTCAAAACATATTCCCTCAACCACAGAAGAAGACTGGGAACTGACAAGCACCAGCGCTATGGACCAAAGCATCTTCCAGGAATGTGTGCAGTCAGCTCCTGGGAAGGACTGCCGGGCTCCCTGACTTGTGGGGCTGGATAGCTGGTGAGCAGCGGAAAAAGCAACTGGATTGGCTCTTAGAGGCCTGGACAGAGGTGTTTTTGTAAAGGCCTGCTGCTGTGCAACGGTTGGTCAGCCAAGCTAACTTACATAAGTTTACAGCCAAAGAGGGGGGCAAAGGAACAGAGTTTCCACAATGAGAATCTAGGAAGCAAGGCAAGATAAGAAAGGAAAGGAGAAGGGAAAGGTGAGATGGCACTAGAGATTGTCAGAACACAGGGAGGGGGATGAAGGGGATGCCCTGCAGGTGCACCTGCCCGTCCCAGGATGATCATGGCGACCAGGACCCCGCTGCCCCTGCCTGGCTCAATTGACCCCAGCCTCGCTGCCCCCAACCCCTCTAACCCCGGCCAAATTAAGCTGACTCGGACTTAAGTGATATCAACCCGGCTTGGCCGACCCTGGCTCGGCCAAGCTAACCCCAACCCTGCTGACCCCGCTGACCCCCGCCCGCTGACCCAGTCGATCCGGCCCCGTCGACCCCGGCCCGCCACTCTGCGCGGCCCGCTCCGCCCGCCCTCACCTTGGCCGGCGGGCGCGGTTCCGGGGCTACGCGGCAGCCTTCGGGCGGCGGCAGGCTGCGGGGCCGACCCACGCAGCCCCGCGGCTGCGTCCAAGCCCGGCCCCCGGACCCGCCGCCCCGCTCGTCACGAAGGCCGGGCCGCCGCCGCGGGACACTGGCGAGCGCAGAGGACCGGGCCCGGCGCGTCGCCGGCGTCAACGTGCCCGACGTCCGGCGCGTCGGCGCGAGCGTCAGCACCGCCCCCCGAGGGAGAGGTCGGCTGCAGAGCTATGCGCATGCGCCAACTCCGCGGTAGGGGGCGGGCGACCTTTCCCGAACGCCAATTGGCTTTTTAGCCCTTTAGCCGCGCCCTCCACCCCACCCCCTAGCCAGGCCAAGCTCCACCACCCAGGCAGGACGGCCGGTGGAGCCTCAGGTAAAGAACTGTGGCAGGTGCGCGCAGTTTGCTGTCCTCCTTTCCCTGCTGTCACTCTACCGCGTGTGCTGACGTCACCCAAACACCGACGTCATCCCAGCTCCCACTCTCAGACCCAAGACTTCTACTGAGTCTCCGAGTCGCGCCGGTCCACATGCAGAACCTAAAAGTGCTGACAGACCGGGCAAGATGCTTGCCTCACGCCTGTAGGCCTAGCCTTACAAAAGTCTGAGGCAGGAGGATTGTCTTGAGTTGGAGGCCCTGTCTCTGAAACACAAAGGCTACTACCATCATCCCTGACGACCGAATTTCGGGACCCAGAAGACCTGCATTAGATCCTCGGTATCCACGCAGTCCTGAGTCTCATGACTCCCATGCATGCACACACATGCACACACACACACACACACACACACACACACACACACAAATGAGTAAGTAAATGTAAAAACAAACAAAAAATTTAAGGGCTCAGTCACCCTGCAAGTATGACTCAAGTGCAACATGAGTTCCACTCCCAGAAACCACACAAAGATAAGAAGCCAGCCGGCCTTGATGCTGCACACCTTTATTCCCTGCACTCAGGAAACAGGCAGGCAGATCTGAGTTCGAGGCCAGTCTAGTCTACATACTGACTTCCAGATCAGCCAGGGGTAGTGAGATCTTGTCAAAAACAAAAAAGGAAGGAAGGAAAGAAGGAAGGAAGGAAGGAAGGAAGGAAGGAAGGAAGGAAGGAAGGAAGGAAGGAAGGGAAAAAAGGAAGGAAAAAAGGAAGAAAGAAAGAGAAAGAAAGGAAAAAATTTAACTAAAGCCAGTAAAACAGTACAGAATAGGCAAGGCAAGATGATGGTCAACCATAGCTGAGAAACCAGTAAAATTTTCTGTTCTGGGATACATAGAGAACTAGGCCAGTCAAGGTTACATGGCCAGATCCCTATCTCAAGAGATCAATAATTAATTAAAAAATCAAGTTTGTGACCCAGGCATGGTGGTACACACCTTAAATCCTAGCACTCAGAAAGCAGAGGCAAGGAGATCTCTGTGAGTTTAAGGTTAGCCTGGCCTTTATAGTGAGACCCTGTCTCAAAAACATAAATCAGATTGCAGATAGTAGCCGTGAGTTCTCCGAGGGGCCCTCCCAGTACCGTCGGTCACTGCACCGCACCGAGTCCTCAGTTGCCTGGATCTCAGGCTTGAGTTTGAGAAGTTGCACATTTATCCCCAGAGATTCCTGCTGATGCACCCGCCGTCTAAGACATTGGCCCAATGCCAAATGCAGTTCAACAGGACAGGTTGTGCTCAGTCCCCTCCCACACTTACACAGCAGGTGTGAAGTTGGAATTTTATAAATAAAATGTACTATATTGGCTTTAATTAAATTTTTCCCTTTCTTCCTTTCTTCCTTTCCCCACCCACACTTTTGCAGCAGGTGTGAAGTAGGCGTGGCCGAAAGCTAAAGAAAATAACGCTTCTCCAGCAAGTTCCACCAGTTGAGAAATTTCGCTGCTGCAGCGGGCAGTACATGCTTGGCGTAATGTGTGAGTGGTGAGGTGTGACCGCAGAGGCGACTAGCGTCTTGATAGAGTGGCAGAGAGGAGCTGCCATCCAGCTGGTCCCTCATGCTCAGAGGTCTTCCCCGGCTTTCTGGCTGTGCAGATCTTGGTTCCTGCTGGTTTGTACCCATTCACTACAGACCACAAACCATCAGAGATGGCTGTGAAGAACAGAGGCAGCAGGGCCATTGCCCTTCTGCATCACAGAGATGTCGCTGGCATTTACAGTGGCTTGTTGGCTTGTTTGAATTTTTATCATATTTACTTGTCTATGTCTTGTATATCCGTGTGTCTGGATATACCTGCACAAGTACATGACACGACATGCAGAGAGGCCAGAGGACAACACGCAGGAGTTATTTCTCTCTTTCCACCATGTGGGTCCCAGGGACCAAACTCAGGTCATAAGGCTTGGTAGCAAGTGCCCTTCCTGCTGAGCCATCTCACTGGCCTGCATCTTATTTTGGAGGCAAGGGCTCTTTGAGACAGGCTAGTGTGCAACTCTCCATGCTTCTGTCTCTGCCTCACAAGTGCTGAAGTGACAGGCGTGTGCTAGAACACATGTCATCAGCTCAGGCCCCTCTTTTTATTTATCTTTATTTTATGTGTTTGGGTGTTTGTCTGTATGTGTGTGTACTGTGTGCATGTTTGATGCATGCAGAGGCCATAAGAATTTTTTGGAGTCTATGGACCTGGACTTACATACAGCTGCAAGCCGCTATGCAGGTGCAGGTATTGGAACCAGAGTCCTCTGCAAGAGCAGCAAATGCCCTTAACCACTGAGCTATCTCTCCAGCCCCACCCTTCCATCACCCCTTTTTTGAGAAGAGGTCTCACGTAGCCCAGGTTAGCTACAAATTAACAGCAGAACAGAGGCTATCCTTGAACTCCTGATAAATCTCACAAGTGTTTGAGGGTAACCAGACACCAAGGACACACATCATGTGACTTCTCATTCCACAGCTGAGTACACAGGTCCAAGAAGCTGCTAAAACAAAAAAGGTTCTGGCCTGAGAGTCTTGAGTCCTGAGGCAGTTCCTTCTGCCTGTGTTTGACAGTTTATTGAAACCTTGCCCAAGGGTAAGTCTGCTCTTCATTGTCGGGAATCTGGTCGGTTGGGTGGATCTGAGAACACAGATACCTTGGGATGGAGTGATAATGAAACCAAATCTGGGGATGAAGAGGCAATTCAGTTCAGTCAGTAAAGGGCTTGCTAAGCAATGGTGAGGACCTGAGTTCCATCCCCAGGACGCCCACAGAAAACTGGGTGTGGCCGTGCATCTGTGTCATCCCAGACTGAGGAAGTGGAGACCCGCGGATCCCTGGGGCTCGCTGGCCAGACAGTCTCGTTGATCGACAAGTTCCGTGTTCAGCCAGAGAATAAGGTGGAAGGCATTCCTGAGGATGACATCTACACATGTGTACTTACACACATAGAAGTCACACTTGCAGAGCAACAGCCCAAGAATACTGCACCCCTGTAGCCCCATCAGTCCTCACACACTCCTCTAGACGTGTATCACTCGCTGTGAGTAAAGATTGAATCCCATGCCCCAGGAAATAAAGTGGAGAATCCAAGACTTGAGCCTAAGCTCTTTACGATCATAGCCATTCCTTCTTTCCTTTCCTTCCTTCCTTCCTTGGGCATCAAACCTGGTCCTCTGCCAAAACAGCCAGAGCGCCTCCTTCCCTTCCTCCCTCCCTTCCTTCCTTCATTTTTTGAAACAGTCTTGCTATGAAGCCCCTGGCTGACCCGGAACTCATTATATAAACCAGGCTGGCCTCAAATCCCAGAGATCTACCTGGCTCCACCTTCCAAGTGATGGGATTAAAGGTGTGTGGAACCAATATTCCTACTGCTGCATAATGAGTTTCCCAGTGCTCACAGCGTGGTCACTGATAGGACCCTATTGCCCCTCAAGGCTCACGAGTTGGCATAATCCTCAGATCCCAGTCTAGGGCCAGGTGCAGGGAAGAACCTGTTTGGAGGGTTTCAGCCCGCACCATGGCCATACTGGCCTTGCCTGCATGTATCTTTATGATGGAAAAGCAAGCCATCACCGCTGGAGAGCCAGCTCGGAGGTGAAGAGCACCCGCTGCTCTTCTAGAGGACCTGAGTTGGATTCATAGCACTCACACAGACGCTCACAACCATGTGTAACTCCAACTCCAGGAGATTCGATGCCCTCTTCGGACATCCAAGAATACTAGGCTCACATGTGATACATAGACATGTATGCAGGCAAAACACCCCTACATATTAAACAATGGGGGCAGGTTTGCGGCAAGGTTTCTCTGTGTAGCCCTGGCTGTCTTGGAGCTCGCTCTCTAGATCAGACTGGCCTTGAACTCAAAGATCTGCCTGCCTCTGTCTCCCGAGTGGTGGGACTACAGGTGTGCATCACCACATCCAGCTAAATGAAAATTTAATTTAGAAAGAAAGAAAGCCGTCACCTGGTACAGCTTGCCAATATAGTGTTCAGCAGACAGAGTCATCTAATAAAAACACCCCTGTCACAGGGACCAGAGAAGTAGCCCAGCCTCTAAGAGGTTTCAGCCCGTAGCCCGTACCAGTTCTTAACTTTACCTTGACCCAGGGGCAAGGCTCTAACCTGCACTCAATGCCAATCTCCCCATCTGTTAGATGGAGATAAGAAACCCATACTGTGGTGTTTGCTGTGACATTCAGTGAAGGTGGGGCCCTTGTAGCTGGCTCCCTGCCTGGCCACCTAAATTACTTCCTTCCCCCAGGTAGTTAGATATGCAAAGGCTGGAGCCAGTTGGCCTGGTTCTATATCGCCTCTGCTTCTATTTGCCAAGGCTGTGCACTCTGGGGCAAGTTGCTTGGCTCCTCTGAACCTCAAACTCCTTGTCTGTGAAGCAGAGGTGACCATCTCAGATTGCAGGGAGGGCTGAGTTGGGAGGGCTGAGCAAGTGCTTAAGGACAAGGGGTTTCTCAGATGGGATCCTGGCCAGCCCTTCATCCCCAAGGGGATGAGAATTGAGGTCAGTCAACTAGCATCTTGCTTCCCTTTGCCCCATAGCCTAGAAGTTGGCCTGGGTGACAGCTTCTCATCAATGAGATGTGTGGTAGACTACACAGAGTATCCTGAACTGTCTCTCCTGATAGCAGAGCATAATACAAAGCCTGTGGGCTCTGTGCTTTCTTCCTTCTTTGGGACTTTCCGTGAAGGCTGGTCTGTGGCAGCCGTTTTGAGAGCACAAAGGAGAAATACTGTCACCTTGCCCTAAT